CACGTAAATAGGTTATATATGAATTACTTTATTCACAATAATAATAATTATCATCAAAATATACTTTGTAATATCATAGGCTGACTGACCGTTTTCGCTCAGAATCGTTTTTCTTATACAATGATATTATATCATTGAATTCAAATTGAACACCATCCATTACAATGACCCACTTGTAACCTAATGTACAGCAGAGCAACATGATACCATCCACTTTCCCACTTTGTTATTTTTCACCTGTCAGGTCTTTAGGTTACACTCTGTATAATTATTACATAGGTGATAGCCGATAGGTACATCATACATATTATATAATATATATTATATATATCTACTTGTGTGTATCATTGATATTAATAAGTTTAACGAATTACAACTTATAAGTACCAATGTATAATACATATTAATATATTTTATCATAAGCACTGGATTATTATAATTTTTAAATACCTTATATAAGTCATATTATGTTTGAGCACTTGAGCCCAGTGCTCGACTCACTGATCCTATAAATACTAAAAGTCTATATACAGTTCGTTTTTTCTTTCTGTAAACAATCAACACCACAATAAATTAATTACAGGCTTAAAGTTAACAAGTTTATAATATTAGGTGTTATATTAGTATTTTACTTCATTGAGGGATGTAGTGGATAAAAGTAAAAGAATAATTTTAAGTAGGTAATTAAACATAATTCGAATTATCGTTGACGTAATTTTATTATTTTCAAATAATATAAGACCGAATAGTGATCTAATGTCAGGTCTAATGTTTACAATTGTTATAGTTGATATATTTAATAAAAGGACTCGCACAGTAATATCAACAATTCGTAAAAGCAAAAAACATGTTTAATGTATAATATACTAAGTACACTAAGTATTAAAGTAATATTAAGACAATTATATATATGATTGATTATAAATTACAACATACATTATGTCTAATTTATAAGTTATTATTAATATATTATAGGCAGGTACGCCTAAATTTTATCTTAAATTTTATGATGGTACCGTACCTAGTACTACCGTTTCATAGTCAATGCTCTAATTTATTAGAAACAGGTTCATTAAAAAATATGTGTTTCATTTTAATTTAGTTTTATTATACTTTTACCTAAATTACATTGGAGTCATCACTGTCTTCTACAGTCCTCCTGAAATAGTGCATTCCTACTTACTATAGCCATGTTTAGTAAGTACCATTTTATATTACATACTAACAATTGGCATAGATTACATGTAAATAGTTGTGGTTTTATTTTAATATTATTGATTTCATATTATATAAACATTTCTAATATCTTTTAAGTTTTAACATTGTGTTGAACTCGTTGGGATTTTGGTTGAGGAACTATATTGTACTATAAATGTATAATAATTAATAAAACAATGCAATATTTTAGGTACCAATTTTGAGCTCCGTTACCCCAGCACTGCCATATTTGAAATTGAAATTCAGACTTATTCAGTATTATGTACTTTATTTTGTACAATTTTGTACAACCAAAATTAAATTTTGTACACCTCCCCGAACCCGAGAAAACGCCATTTTACCACGTCCGTGCTGCGGTAACGTTACCCCAGCACTGCTTCTAACTAATTTTGAACAAATTCAATTTTCAACCATACAGTATTATGTACTTTATTTTGTACAATTTTGTACAACCAAAATTAAATTTTGTACACTTCCCCGAACCCGAGAAAACGCCATTTTACCACGTCCGTGCTGCGGTAACGTTACCCCAGCACTGCTTCTAACGAATTATGAACAAATTCAATTTTCAACGACACAGTATTATGTACTTTATTTTGTACAATTTTGTACAACCAAAATAAAATTTTGTACACCTCCCCGAACCCGAGAAAACGTGACCTATATTAGTGGATATTTTAACGAATATACTGGGAGTAGATTGATTATTTATTACGTTTAATTTTGCTATTTATTTATGACGTATATCATTTCTTTTGACAAATAATTATTGAGAATGGAAAACCCATGTAACAATTCACCGTAGCCCATAGGTAGTAGGTACCTAGAATAATACAATGCGAGAAAGCAATGCATTCCAAGCGGTCCGCCGGCCCGCGATAATACGACATGTTTTTCATGCTTTCATCTGGTCGTCCAGTCGTTCCGGCAATTATCCACAAATTGATTGTTTTTCATTTTATGTTAGTCCTGGTTCCTACCATCTATTAGCTAATAAGTTAAATGATTATTTCACTTTAAACAGTTTAAACGTACAACCCCTAAGTTCAATGTAATACGTCATACGATAAGGTAATACGGCCACAGGACGACTTTCGTCTTTCGGTAAGTATATTATAATTTAAAATCTAAAATTGTAGACTTGGACTTAACTAAATACAGTAAGTACCTGTTGGCTGTTTTTAATAATTTTAATATTGACATTACAAGATTTACAAAATACAATAATACTAAATTAAATATACATACCTACTTGCATAATATATAATACGTATATTACCATTTAACATTGGTTATAAACACTATTCAAAATAGCAGTTTTACTATCAATCGTATTACGTATACGTATTGATGTAAAATTATTAATATTCTGTGAATTTCTGTGAATATTCAATATAATAACATTTTTAATAAATTATCATTTATTAATTAATATAATATTTAATATTTTGGATTATTATACATTTATACCTAACTTTCTTTTTAAATTCATTTTTACAAAATTGAATATATATTATTTTAATCTGTGGTTTAGGAATAAAATTAACTTAACGTGACGATAAAATAAATTAACTCATAAGTTACTAAATAACATGGAAAAAATGTAACTCGTTATTTAAGTTAGTTAAAAGTAACTTATTCAGACTTATTCAGTATTATGTACTTTATTTTGTACAATTTTGTACAACCAAAATTAAATTTTGTACACCTCCCCGAACCCGAGAAAACGCCATTTTACCACGTCCGTGCTGCGGTAACGTTACCCCAGCACTGCTTCTAACTAATTTTGAACAAATTCAATTTTCAACCATACAGTATTATGTACTTTATTTTGTACAATTTTGTACAACCAAAATTAAATTTTGTACACTTCCCCGAACCCGAGAAAACGCCATTTTACCACGTCCGTGCTGCGGTAACGTTACCCCAGCACTGCTTCTAACGAATTATGAACAAATTCAATTTTCAACGACACAGTATTATGTACTTTATTTTGTACAATTTTGTACAACCAAAATAAAATTTTGTACACCTCCCCGAACCCGAGAAAACGCCATTTTACCACGTCCGTGCTGCGGTAACGTTACCCCAGCACTGCTTCTAACGAATTTTGAACAAATTCAATTTTCAACGATACAGTATTATGTACTTTATTTTGTACAATTTTGTACAACCAAAATAAAATTTTGTACACCTCTTAGAATTTAACTTAGAATTTAACTTTAAAGTCGAACAAGCGTATAAAAACCATTTCTACATACAGAAGTTCTTTGAAAAAGTTTGAAAAAATTATAAATTTACCTAACTTATAAATTATTTATGTGTTGTGAGTTTTGATGGTATTATTAGATATAGCCATATATGTAATACTTTTTACAATATTTAATACTGAAAAGTTTTTAAAGTTCATAATACATTGATTATGATAGTCAGCTTGAAATTTTTTTTAAAATCGCCCAGTGATAATTCCTTAAAATATAGTCTGATCTATATATTTCTATAGGTACTGTACAAACCTATACTAGCACTATCTGGTTGATAACATCATAAGCTCTTTTATTATTAGGTAACAATGCTGTTGTTTTTTATTAATTCTTAGTTGATCCTTGATCATACTTTTAATTTTGTCGAAAGTTCAAAGTTGAATAAAACAAGACGTATCGTTTACTTTATTGTCGAAAAAGAGTAATTGAATATGTTGAATGGATAATTGTTGTAATATCCTTTAAAAATAAAAATACAACATTTTAAAATTGTATAGTTGCTCTCACAAGGAATACCTACCTAAATGTACTGAGAGTAAAACGATCCGAGTACGTTGTACTAATAGGTACCTAATAAATATCAGTTTTGGATTTTTTTCTTTTACCTCCATAGTAGTGCTAAAAATAATTTTACTGCAACTTCTTTTTTAGAAAAAAAAATTGTCAACTTTGGCAGCCAAAGTCACATAGTTTGCTATGTTGTGTTCACTTTGTTGGAAATAAAAAATCAAAAGATTTAAGCGATTCTTGTTATGTACCTTCCTTGTTTACTTAAGTTTGTAAAAAGGAATCTTCATTCAAATGAGAAACAAACAAGTGACCATATATGTACCTATACTATCATAATGTTAAACGTCAAGAATAACATTTGTAGCAGGATTTCGCAATGCATTATAGGTATTTTTATTAAATCCAAGTAAATAATTTAAAACATTTTTAAATATTACCTATACAAAAGTTACCTCAACTTACAGATATCCGCCTTGTAACAATTTTGTTGTATTTCTTGAACAATATGAACAGTCCACTAAGTATCAGTTTTTCAACTTTAAGTATTAGGTATTTGTAAATATTTTCTCAAAGTTAAGGACCCTAAAACTACATTTAACACAATATCAGGTTGATTCCTTGTTTCATAAAATATAGGTACCTAATTAATATAAAATGTCTTTTGATCTATGAATTAAACATTCACAATGCTTAAACATATTCTAGGAGGTGGGACCATCAAGATCTTATAATTACATAACTTATTGAATTCTCCATGATACCGCACAGCTTTTCATCATTTGCATGGTATCTATAAGTAAAAGTTTTTACTTCGATAACCAATATTCTGCCAGTTAGCGTTATCAGAGATCTAACTAGACATTACAAGAATAACCCTTAATTTACAAAATTTAGATAATAATAACTAATATTATAAAATATATTTTACACATTTAAAAAATAAATATTAAAAATTGCTTTTGTAAATGGTAGGTAGTTTCAAATATAAAAATTGTGTCATTGACATTATTAAATTGTATATATTATGACCTCGACATTATTTTTTATTGCTTTTGGCTGAGTGATGCCATCTTTTAGGTCATCATAAACTTCCCAATAGTTATTTTTCCTATATGCAAATGCCTTATAGTGACCACTTGTAACTCTGAGTCCTGTACGTAAGCCACTATTAAAGACAATCGTTCCTCGGATATAATAAGTATGGCCATTCACATTTAATGTTTTTGGTATCTCATCCAATGTCAACAATGTTTCTCCAGCATAATTTTGTTGTATGTCATTTATAATATCAATATCAAGAGCACTTGTTGATGCTTCAAGTTCTATACAAAAAAATAGTTTAATGGTTATGTATAACATTAGATTTTGAGGTACAATTAAAAAAAAAATTACCTTTAGGAATAGAAACCAGCTCAATCAAAACATTTTTTTTAACATTTACTGTAATGTTTCTTTTAGAGTCACAGTAGGAACATATGGTGGTTTCATTTTTAAAAAAAATATCTACTTCTTTTTGTATATTTATTTTTCCATCAATCGCTGTTAATTTTACGACTTCATAACTCTGTTCACTGGAAAAATCTTCACACGTGAAATTTGTACATTGATTTATTTTCTTGTAAGATGGCATATTTTTTAACATTTTATGTGCTGTAGAAGATAATGTATCCATTGCATCAATTGTACTGATACCACCAATAAGATGTTTGTCCTTAGATAAAAAATAAGGAGCTAATAATATTATTCGTTCTTTGTGCATAACTTTCCTTGTTTTTGTATTTAGCATGCTAATAATAAATTTGGCAGTTTTATCTTTTTTTGATATGCTTGATAAATAATCATAATAAACCTTACTGTCTGCTGCAGCACAGGCTAAAATAGACATCAACGAATCTGGTGAACAACTATTATTGAGAATTACTTTACCAATTCCTGGTAAGGTGCAAGGTTTATTTTGAAAAGTATTACCATTTTTCAAAAATATTATTGCCTTTATGGAGCCATTTTGGCTTAAATCTAAATGATCGAATCCTGGTTGGGAAGTAAGATATGAGTTAGCTGATCTAATGGGGGGCCGATTAGATATATTTTTTTTTTGCCATTGTTCTTCAGCGTTATTTTCTTCTGACTGGTTAAAACATAACAAACATATTCGTGATTCTCCGTAGCCTTCTTCGCTATCTACAAGATTAACTGAACAACCAAATAAGTGTACAGATCTATTACAAAAAGCACACCGATGTATACCTGTTGGGAAATCTCCATTTTTACATGGCAGACATATGTTGGTTTTAAATTCATTATTTAATATAGTCCCAGTTGAGGTTTTTCTTTTTTCAGTACATTCCATATCTTGATCTTCTTCAATTTGTACAACATTTTTGTTATACAACTTTTGATTTGAATTGTTAATAGTGCCGCCAATATAAAATCCTTCATCTGTACAATCTGGTTCAAGTTCTTGGTCATTCAAATGGTGTTCATTGATTATACTTTTATTTGAAGAAACCGTTTGTGAATTATAGTTATTTGTATCAAGGTTTGATCCTAAATTTTCATCAATATTTTTACATGGCAGACATATGTTGGTATTAAATTCATTATTTAATATAGTCCCAGTTGAGGTTTTTCTTTTTTCAGTACATTCCATATCTTGATCTTCTTCAATTTGTACAACATTTTTGTTATACAACTTTTGATTTGAATTGTTAATAGTGCCGCCAATATAAAATCCTTCATCTGTACAATCTGTTTCAAGTTCTTGGTCATTCAAATGGTGTTCATTGATTATACTTTTATTTGAAGAAACCGTTTGTGAATTATAGTTATTTGTATCAAGGTTTGATCCTAAATTTTCATCAATATTAGAGTTTGTTGTAACAATTGAATCTGAACTTTGAAGTAACAAATGATCCCCATTGTAATAAGAGACTAACTTTTCTAAAAAATTGTCAACTCTCATTGGTAAGTTGTCTCCGTTGAAAACTCTATTCTTAATATTATTGAAATTACTTTCCACCCGACAACTTGAAACTGAGGCATCTCCATATTTGAAAGTCTTCGTCATAATTCCCGACCAACATGGATATAATTTCATCGCATTAAGTACCAACGGAACAATTTCTGGTACATACTGGGCGTTGTCATATTCTCCTTCCAGTTGTTCAACATCTATTTTAGAACGATTTGCAATTATAGAAGCCCAATTCATAAAAGAGCTATCGATATCTGCACATATACTTTCATTTACAGAATTTGATTCTTCATTAGATATTGTATTTTCTATATAATTATCAAAAGTTTGAAAATACGATGATTTGTTTGAAATAAGTGATTGTAAATACTTTTTACTTTTAGCGCAAGGAGTTTCTTCTGTAATATTATTATTTGTTGCTCCTAAACAAAGACCATCATATTTACTTAGTGCTACTTTGAAAATAGCTTCTAAAATTTGTTTTGCTTCTTCCATTGAAGAACAATATATTAATAGTGTCATAGAACGAATAAACAATTGTCTAGTTCTAGGGAACTTAGATTTTTTAAGTGGAGTCCATTGTGATATTAATTTTACAAAATGGTTGATATCATTTCTTACAAAACATAAAGGTATATCTTTTTCGTTAACTTGAGTATTCATGATTAATTTGAAACATATTCTTAAGTACTCTTCAAGGGAATTGTACTGCGTAAAGGATTGTACAATTGCAGACATAAGGGCCAAAGATTGGTCAGATATAGCCATTTTAGGAGATTTGACACCACACTTCAACCATCGTTTTAACCAAGTACATATACTTAATGTATCATGTTTTTCGGAAATCATTGAACAAACTGTGAATGTTTTTCCATCTACTTCCATAACACCTTCATACAGAAATAGGTTACTACTCATAGTGTTGTCCGGTCTTTTTATTTTTCTACAACATCCTCCTGTAGCGTCAAATGATATTGAAGGAATTTTACATTTTGAGTAACAATCTTTGTAAATTCGAAGTTGTAAGTTGCTCCAAAAATGAACAAAAAAACCATCGTAACCAATATCACGAATAGTAGAACAAAATGATGAATTGTATTTCATAATATTTATTGCAATTACTGGGTCTTGATGAAGCCTTGTTAAGGAAATTGCTCTGCTTTTTGCTGTTCTAAGACTTATCAAGCTTGGAATTTGTGCAGGGGCTTTATCACCTAAAATGAATAAAAGTCTTAAAATTATTATATTATAGATATTAGGACTTAATAGTTCATATATTCAAAATAAACTTATTTATAAAATTTAAATGGTTTAATTATTAAGATTGGAATTTTTTTTAATTTAAGGATGAAAAAATAATAGTTTTATTAGGCGTTGAAAAATTGGTAACTCTGATAACTAATTGTCAAGCAAAGGATAATTGTTTTAATGCATAATAGTAACTTTCTGATTTTTTAGGTTTTATTTAATATTGTTTATTATTATTTGTATTATTTATAATTTATAAAATATTATTTTTTTAAAGTTATTTTTATTAAATAGTTAAGTATATAAAAAATACAATTTTTTTTAATGCATCTCACCTTCAGACATTAAACGACTTGCTTCAATACGGTTAAACACTGAAGGATTAACGTTTTCATTTAGCATCGTAGTTAATGCTCGAATTTTTTCACTTCCAAATAATTTACGTTTCTTTGAATGTGAAATTTTATAATTTCCTGAATAATTGCATTCCATTATGACTCTGTTAAAAATTTAAAAATTAATAAGGATACGTCACAAAACATTTTAAAATAAATTATTTTCTTCTTACCTAGATTCCGTATTAGGAATATCTTTAACAACACCATCAAAAATTGATCCACAGTCAGAACAACGTCCTCGTATTGTTAAAAAAAATTTACCATTTAAGCTGATGTTTGCTTTTTTAAATACAAGACAACAAGGTAGTTTAGTGTGCAAAAAAAAGTGTTCTTGGATCACATTACTCCACTCGAAAGGAGACATAACTTGATAGGTCTTAGGACCTCGCTTACAATTGTAGACTTTATTTGTCGGACGAATCGCTTCCCATTCCTTAATCGAAAATGTAATTGCAAATAATAGCTCATCACCATGATTTTCTTCTACCTCTTCCTCAGATGTGCTATATGAAGATTCTGACAATTTTAAAAAAGAATAATATATTGTTTTTAAATGAATAAAAATATAAAACAATTTTAATGTTATATAATCTACTCGATTATTTTTATTTAATTGTATATACCATTTTTTTGGTAAGGTTCTTCAACTTTATTTGACTCAATTGACTCTATTCCTAACTTTTGTTTTATACCACCACGGTCTAGGGCAACACGAACCCTCAAAGATGCTGGCGTTACTTCTTCATTACATTTTTCAGTTATATTAAATGCAATTTTTCTCCAGACATCAGCTTGAATACCTACTATTTCTAATTTAATCATTAAAAATAATTACAAAAATAATTACAAATTAAAATTTGAATAAAAAAATTAGTATGCTTTTAATAATAAAAATACTTCTAAAATATGGAATACAATAAAGGTTATAACAAAATCTAACATCAAAAATATTTTGTTTAAATATTTTTTTTGTCAAAATTTGAACTACAAATGACTAGGTGTAAAGAAGAAATATAAACTATTTATGGAAAACATTGTATTCAATCATGAGTATGGGAGTACTGAAGATAAATTTTTATCTTATTTTCAAGGCTTTATAATTATATAAAAATAAAACAATATATTAATGAGATTGAATTTATAAAAACAGAAAACATTTTGTATAGAAAAAGTAGGTAATTTAAAGGTATAAAGTTTAAACCAATTTTATATGGATTTTGTATTTGAATTTTTTTAAATAATTTCATATTAATAGTTAATAGTTAATACCACTTTTTATTTTTTACTTTTTGTAATTTAATTGTATCAATATGAATGAAATATCTAAACATATATTTACTTCTAAATAGTTTGACGTATTATTATTTTTTTTCAAATTGTTAAAATCTATGGTAAGTAGTAACATAGTTAACAATTGAAGATAAAGTTACAAAAATGTTTACTGCAATTCTCTTATTCAATGTGAATCTAACAAGACCTATAACATGAAAATCTGTTATCCAGTTTCATAAATCTACCTATATCAATGAAAATCTATCAAAGAAGACTTTATCTTTAATAGTTGAATAACTACATAGCATTAAAAAAATTAAAACTAATTAATTTATTTTATGTTATTTTATCTCTCTAATTAATATCTTATATTAAAGCTAACTAAATTACACACCTATTTGTTATTACTGAGTTACATTCTTACTATTTTCTTATTGAAGACAATTTTTTTATAATTTTAAAAATTATTTAGTTGGTTGATAGCTCATTAAAAAGGGATTATCGAGCAGATAATTATTACATTTTTCACAGTTAAAAAAATAATTTGTTTAACTAGTTTTTCATTTAGCGAGGTAGATCTCCATAACCGGACATCGGATTTTGTTGTTTTAGGTCTTGTTAGATTCACATTTTTTAGGAGAAGTGCAGTGAAGATTTTCAGAACTTAATCTTTAATAGTTAATTCTCTATAGAACATTATTAAAAAAATATATTATTGTTTTTTGATGTTTTTCAGCTTTACAGCCTTGTAGTGAATTAACGATTGGAGATAAAGTTTTGAAAATCTTCCCTTGCACTTCTCCTAGCCAAAGTGCATCTAACAAGACCTCAAACAAAAAAATCCGTTTATATAACTATATGTTTCAGAGATTACCTCGCTGAATGAAAATGTGAAATGTGAACAGTAACAAAATTTCTAATTTTTAACTTTTCACCTAAACTATAATAGGTATAAAGTTGGTTTATAGCTCATTAAAAGGGATTATCGAGTAGATACTAAATGTGTAATTAAATTTTTATTAAAAAAATTATTAAATTTTTCACATATAAAAAAAAAGATATATTTTTTTAAATTTTCATTCAGCGAGGTAATCTCTGAAACTATTGAACGGATTTTGTTGTTTGAGGTCTTGTTAGATGCACATTGGCTAGGAGAAGTGCAATGGAATATTTTCAAAACTTAAGCTTTAATAGTTAATTCTCTATAGAACATTAATAAAAAAAAATTTTATTGTTATTGAACGTTTTTTTGATGTTTTTCAGCTTTACAGCCTTGTAGTGAATTATAAAGTTTTGAAAATCTTCCCTTGCACTTTTCCTAGCCAATGTGCATCTAACAAGACCTCAAACAACAAAATCCCTTCTATAGTTTCAGAGATTACCTCACTGAATGAAAATTTAGCCAAAAATATCTCTTTTTTTATGTGAAAAATTTAATAATTATTTTAATTAAAATTTAATTCCACATTTAGTATCTACTCGATAATCCCTTTTTAATGAGCTATCAACCAACTTTCTAACTAACCTAGTTTAAGAGAAAAGTTAAAAAATAGAAATTTTATGACTGTTCACGCCGACGTTTATGTTTATTTAAGTGGTTATACCGCTTGGGTGTGATATCGTATCTCTCTAATTAATATCTTATATTAAAGCTAGCTAAATTACACACCTATATTATTACTGAATTACATTTTTACTATTTCCCTCTTAGATACATATTCTTGAACTTTTAAAAATTAAGATTTTTTTCATTTCAATTACCATACTTACTTGATTAAAAATCAAGAAAGTAATACTTGTTTTTGTATTCAAATACTTAATGAGTATTCATAAAATACATTTTTATAATAGTATTTTATTCGAATACTAGTATTAATGTTTTAATAATTTATCAAAAGTATATTTTACAAGACTGCGGATAGGTAACTGATAAGTAGAAAACTGAACTAAGTTATTATTTGTCTTAAGATAATGAAATTAACTTGAAATTTAAATCACCTAATTTTTCAACAGAAGATACAAATTATTGTTTTTCAAAAAACTGTAAATTAAAAATTTGATAGATTATAATATTACAGTATTTCTACATAAGTTAATAATATGCATTTTGTTTTGCTTTAATATTTTGAACCCTGGTATGACATAACAACTATGTTGGTTTTATTATTATAACCTGTAATAAACTTTTATTATTATTTATTATATGAATATATTTTGATAAAATATATTTATTGGGATAAGCCGGATAACTTATTAAATTTTGATGGTACCTAATATGGAGTTTGTGATTTTGGAAGAATCAAGAAGATAATCTTGAAACTAATAGTTGTAATGAACTAATACTTAGACCTTGAGTATATTGAAGAAATAAACACTTGGTGGTGAACAGAAAATAAAAAAAATTCACTAAAGACAAATAAGAAAAAATATGGAGAATTAAATTGAAAAAACTTGAATATTGAATTGTATCCACAAGGAAAAACCTTTAACAGTATGTCACATTTCCACAATTCTAGCTGATACGTATACCTGATGAAACTGAACATCAATTTTTACTGGATATGATGTCTATATATTACAAATGTAGGTACATAGAAAGGATGGTCGTAAAACCAACAAAGAAGATAAATTACTTTATACCTACTTAATGTCAAATGTGATAAATTTGAGTTCATTTAATTGCTTTCTAATCAATCAAAAAAATTTCTATTAATTGTTTGAATATAATTTGCATGACATTCAAAAACACTTATTTAAGTCCTATAAAAAAATAGATGGAGCAAGAATTACCTACCTACTTTACTACCGGTCTGTAGAATAATTACCAATTATTCAATTATAGACCATATCCACTCTTTTAAATCAAGAAAAGTGATCAGACTTGAAAAGACACTAACATAAGTTATTTACAGTTAAATATTTCATTGAATTTTATATTTAACGTACCTATGTGAAACATTTAGGCAGAACAATGATGTTGTAGGTAATAGAAAATTTGTCTTCCTTAAAATGAAAAATCATATTTATAAAAATAGTTTTGGATAAGAATCTTTTATTAATGATGTAATTTTCAAAACAAATTGACTAATTTAAAGCTATATATTGCCATTTTAAATATTTGACTTATAATAAAGTGTTTTTATTTATATGAAAAATGATAATACAATACTCATTACTCATATTCATTTAATATGAGGTTCCTTATAAGTTGTCATAATAAAAGTTGAAACATAGGTATTCAAGATGCATAGGCAGGCACGATTCTATTATTTTTGTGAGCATTTAAAGTATTAAAGATATTATAACCACAAATTATATGGTTAACGATGAAAATATTTTGTAGAAATTTTAAGAAATCAGCCAAATCACCCCAATTGACAAAACCATTTTTGACTTCCACTATAACAAATAAGTTTTAGGTAGGTACCTACCTACCTACCTGATGGGTAATTACATAAAATTTGGTTACTAATGCTAATGAACCATAATATTTCCCCAAACTCAGCAAAATATGCTCAATGCTTAAATATAATTTATAGGTTGAATACAAAAAATAGAATAGCCTGAATGCCCTCAACCCAAATCAATTATTTAGGTACTACTGGTACGTACTACCAATATGGTATTTTTCTAGTACACAAATTGAGAAAACAGGGTCAAATTGTGATGTAGAAAAGAAATAACTTTTAATGGAGTGATTATGTTATAGAAAATAATGTATAATATCTTACTATTTCCATCCTGGACAATTTCATGCTTAAACTTAATAATTTCATTTTCGATAATGCTGATGAATTCAGTTTTAGGTTTTCTTCCTCTATT